TGTTTCCGAATGACCATGTGTAATACCAAAGTCACGCCTCTTGAGCTGATTAGCTCAGCAAGTTACCAGCATGAAGTTACCAAGACCCATATCTCATTACATCTCTAGCTGCTGGAGGTCATACCAGTGCTTTCCACACTTCAGTGGGCAAATAGGTCACCGAGGGCGCTGTTACAACAGCGCGGATACAATAGGTGCTGATACAGTAGGTTAGGAGGGCCCCATGGTTCTGTTCTTCCAACAAGCTCCCAGGTGCTACTGTGCTGCTCTGCTGAAACTTTGAGTGGCGAGGGCTTTCACCATTCAGGAGAGGTGAGCTCCTTGCCAGAGAGTGGCCTCCTCTGGGTACAGAGGAGCAATGAGTAAGAAAGGAGGTGCTGGTAGGCACCCGCTACTGGGCGAGACACTCCCGACATCATCCCCTTTAATTCCTACAGTGGCTCCAGCCAATAGCACCATTATCAGCCTAGTGGGTCAACGGTGGCACAGGCGGTCCATGAGAAGTACACGTGGCTCCAAAACACAAACTTTCTGCTAAAAAACAAGAAGAGGGAGTGAATCCCTTGAGCAAGCACAGAACTGAGATTACCCGAATCACTGATCTGAAAGGCCCTTGTGAGTTGTTCCTGTTTTATTTAGCTGCCTCCAGCTATGGTTGTGAGACAAATGAGGGACAAGGTGCCTAATTTGTAGCATTATCCAAGGGTGTCAAGCTACGTGGTTAGCTTTGATTCGAAATCCTAGGCTCCGCATGCTCCCCTTCCTCTGTGAAGTCATGTGGAGAAAAAGAGAACCTGGATGGGGCATGGATTAAAGGGAACAGGCTTCTCCCAAACTCCAGTGGTGTGATATCTAGACATCACTGCTCTGCGGCACCACACGGCCCAAACTCAGCTACAAAACCGCAATGCTGGAACGTACCTGAGGGCTGAACCCTGCTGGCTTTGCGTCTGAAGATAAGCAGGCATCCCAATCCCTGTAGAAAATGCCCAAATAATACTAACAGCTAAGGGCTCCTGAGTGACTCCTTCTGCTGCACCGGGCACTGTGGTCAAGACCTTGTGTGAATCTAGTCCATTCTCACATCACAACAACTCCCCCCGCCACCTGTCATTTCCATTTAACAGGTGAGGGGACTAAAACATGGACATGTCAGGCAGGTGGCCCAAGGTGGGAGTGCTGGTGAGTGGTAGAGTAGGCCGTAGACCCAGGAAACCCACCCCTGCCTGCCACTCTGAACCATTACGCTAGTCTGTTTCTCTCTTACCTAAAAGAGCAGACATCGTTTCCTCGCCTAGTGTTATGACGGCACTTCAAAACCATTTATGAAATGAATAACAATGAAAGGTTGGGGGTGACTCTTAAAGGCTCAGTGAGAAATCAATAACCATGTAATGCCTTTGCAAGGTGGCTATGACACTGGCCAGCAAACAGGGCAACTATTAGCTCTAGCTTCTCTCCTCCTATGTCCTACATTCGCTTCAGTCCTGGAGGCTGATCAGCCGTATGGGATTCCCAGCTCTCACCAGACCATCCATAAAACCAACACAAACACCCTCTCTTCCAGCTGGAATCTTAGGTGTACATTCCGATTGCCTCAGAAATCTACACATCTTCTGACAAGGTGACCTTCAGAGGCAGGACAAGGACATGTGACTTTTGGAGTGCACTTATGAGGAGCAGACCTTAGGTGAAGGCCCACCCTTCCCTCACACTATTTGCTATGTTGCTAAATGATACAGAGGTGCCTTTTTCTTTTCTTTCTTTCTTTCTTTTTTTTTGAGACTAAGCTTCTTGCCTGAGGCTGGGGGCATTCCACATGCCCATTCTTCAGAGGACTGAGGTCATGGCATTATTAACTAATAGGAAAATCACAAAGGAAAAAGGCAACCAAATTTTTTAAGTGTGAATAAAAATCCCAATATGACTGCAAAGCGGCATGAGAGAACTTATTGAGAGTGACGAAAGTGTTCTGTCTCTTGATTGTGGTAGCGGTTACACAGCTGTCCACATGTGTCACAATTCAGCCAACTGGACGGTTTAAAAAGGTGGATTTTATTTTATTAGATTACACCTCAGTAAAGCTCGGCTCTTTAAGAAACTGCAGGGTTTCCATGCAGACAGAATATCTTGTCTTGCAGAAAAAGTCCTTCTGGACGAATGGACAATCAACCATTCACAATGGCCAGGGAGATTAGGGAACAAAATGAAAGGAAGACTTTCCTCCCACCGTACCCTTTCTGAAGCATTTGGTTTTTAAAAATATATGTATATATTATCTGTTCAGACAAATAGCATGAGAGAGAGAGTAAGGAAAAGAGGGAAATGAAAAGAGAAGAAAGGGAGGGAGGGGAAAATGGAGGGAAGGAGGGAGGGTAGAGGAAGAAAGGAAGGAGGGAGAGAAGGGAAGGAGGGAAGGAAGGAGGGAGAGAAGGAAAGCCTCACAGATTTTTTAGTTCATACACAGCCCATTATTTAAGTCCTACCTATGGCACCTACTTGTCATGTGATTCTAGACAAAGTGTTAAACTTCTCTGAGCTTGGTTTCCTGATCTGTAGGGTGAGGATGCCTGTGTCATGGGGCGGCTCTGAGATTCACTGAGACCGTGCTATGAAAAGGTCTGAGCGCTGTACATCCTCTCTGAGTGCAGACTCAACTCATACCAGCACTGAAAATACAGAACTACATTTGAAAAGAAAATTTGTGGCTCAACATTTTCCCCCTAATATATTTAAGAAACCAGGATGATGTAAATAATTATCATCCATTGTGTTTGCAGATCATAAAACTGGCAACAAGAGCAGAATTTTATAGTAATTAAAAAAAATACACTGGGAGACACTCCAGAGATTTTGTGTGTTCACCATCTTGTTTGACTTGGACTGGAGAAGAGCCATCAAGCTTTTCATGCTTTAGTACAGGGGAGAAATGGACCCTGAAATGCTGCTGCTTTGGGGAGGGGGAGGAAATATCTCACTGCAGAGAAGAGAGATGCCTAACAAGCAAACACCCCCTAGAATATTAATTTTAGAAGACTAAATGCAAACCACCTTGGAATGTGTTAAAAGACTCCAAAGTCACCAAGACATCTGAGCCATCAGCTGTGCTGGATTTCTGGAGGTGTACAATGAGGAGTTGCCTTCAGGGCAGCTACGTCACGTCATAAGAAATTGTCTGATAATGAGTAAGAGGGAAAATATATGAAGGTGGGCTTGTGATTATTAGCTAAGTTGATATACACTAAAAACTGAAGTCATTAATATCTCAAAAGCTTATGGTAATAAATATATCCAACTCGCAGGTCATTTATCAAATTTTATCTTTTGGGGATGAAATAAACTCTTCCATTGTGGGCAAGCCAGTATTAAAAAGGAGAAAAAAAACTGTCGCAAATGATGGTAACCATGTCTGGATATTCTACTCTTACAGATTAATTTCTTTAGCTTAGCCTGGACCTTCTTTTAAAAAGTGAACTCCTTGGAGAAGGTTGATATGTTAAGCCAGGATATCAAGTGTTATCATGCTTCAGTGTGATTTAATCTACTTATATCTTCCCTCCCACTTCAAATGACATTAGGAAAATGAGAAAAAGGGTGTGTTTCTAGAATGAGAAAAATAGGACAGAGGAGTGATTTTGGAGATTGTGTTGCACCAACAAGCTGTCCACAGCTGCCTTCATGGACTGAGCAGTTGGCGTAAGTGGAAAGCCGGACCAGGAGAGAGAGGGGAATTGGCAGTAGGTCAAGGGCACAGAGAGGAGAAGGCGAGTCTGCAGTGCTGGTGAGCACTGGGCACAACACAGGATACTGTCATTTCCCATCACTGAGACACACTTGGGGAGTGTGCAGACACAGCACTTGTGTTCCAAAAGGAATTTTTATTGAATCAGAACTATTTTGGCTTAAAGTAACCTTTTCCCATTCTGAACTGACATTCCTAAAACCAAGAGAATATAATTCTCACTATCAGACTGGCAAAATTAAAAGGCTTGTAATCTCCAGTGTTGGAGAAGGTACACGGAAATCCATGTGCTCAGGTATCTTTTTTGAAGAACAATTTAGTCATGGTTACCATATTTAAAACGTTCATAACTTTGATCCAGAAACTTTACTTCTAGAAAGAAATCTATCTTGCACAAATATCCATAGAATACATATACAAGATATTTGCACAAAGATGTTCAATGTAGCATTAAGTGAAAAACTGGAGATACCTAAATAGTCCACCCAATGGAAATGGTTCAATCAGTCATAGATGATAATCCATGTTATGGAATTCTAGACAACTAAGAGGTGTGAAGTGTATCTGTATGTTTTATCATCTTTAGAAAGAGAAGTAAAAAGTAGCTGGCTAAAAAATAGTTGCCCAGTAATATTGATAATCTCTTTGCACTGGAAGATGGATGAGTAGATGGGGTGGATAGATGGATGGACAGAGGAGAGATACATGGATAGTTGGACAGGTGGGAAGATGCTTGGGTGGAGGGGGCAGGGAAGGAAGGAGGGAGTAAGGAAAGACAGGAAGGAAGCAGGGTTATAGGAATGAATGACAGAGACGTGTGTATCCCACAAACTCAAATGATCATCTGTTGGGTTGAGTTGGCAGTGAGGGGATAAGGTTAATGCACTTCCATTTGTAAAATTTTACATATTGTTGGATTGTTTAAACTTTTGATAAGGAACATATACTGCTCTTATAATTTAAATTATTGAATAGTGTTTTTTTTAATTGATGGAGTAGAGCATGCCCTTCTTTCAAGCTGAGTGAATGCTGAACTTCAAAGATAAAGCCTATTATCTTTGAAGGAAAGTATTTGGCAAAGACAATAATAGGGTGGGTCCTGTGAGCCAGATTTAATACTGTAACTGTACAAGCACCTCCTTTGGCTCCCAGCATCAGCCACAGGAGGATGACGTGCACTCTGAGACTGCAGACCAGGGACGCAGGCAATCAACACAGAGCAACTCAAGCTCCAGACCATGAAGAGAAGACAACTCACCTTCAGAGAAGATGATGTGGTCATTGCACTCCTCAGAGCTACAGGCACACATAAAGAAAGTCTCGCCATTCACTTTTTTTTCCTTCATAATACACTTTGAAGAAGCAGCATCTTCGAGAATAAATCCGTGGTAGGGGACCTTGGGGTCATGGCAAACCGTCTCCAATGTTATGTTCTCATCATTCTTCCTCCTTCAGTGTAGTTCACAGGTGGAGAGGGAGCCGGGGAGAGAGAAAGAGAGAATGGATGAATATATGCTCTATGGCCAGAAAAGCAATCTGCAACGCATTTCCTTCATGTCGTTGTTTCCAACAATGGCAGCTGGTTCCTGTTTTCCAACATTAACAGGTTGTCCTCTGGTCTCTTGTGCTTTTTCTACTTGTTTTAGTTTTTCCTTTGCTTATTCTCAGAGCCCACTTATGATAAAAACATGAGGGCTTCCCTCAGGGGCTACACCGGCAGAGAATTTCACACATTGTCTTAACTCAGTCCTCAGAGGGCCGAGCACTGCAACAGAAGGGTGCTGGGCCCTGGGGTGGTTCAAACCTTCCACCCTGAATGTGCGGCAAGGCTCATGCCACACCCTAGTTTACCTGGCAGAATCAGGGTCAAGTCCAGCTAACTTGTTCTCTAACAGCAGCCTGGGAACACAGTTGTGCTTCCTCCTTTTTTTTTTTTTTTTGTTTGCTGGGCCCCCAGGGCACTGTAAGTGATGGCAGGGTCCCTGTCAGCAGCTGGCTGTGCTGAGAAAATGGAAGATACTTCCTAGATAAAGAAGTGCAGTTTCCAGAATGACAGAGGAACAGAAAAGGAAAAGAAATGAAAACTCATGGGAAAGACCTGCAAGGTGTTGTTCATTTACAGTTCAGTGAAATCTTTCAGGCTGTCGTAAACTCATTCCATCTAGATTTTGTATTTCGTCATATCGCACATTTGGAAAGTAACTCAGCTCCGGACTCAGTGAGTCTCTTACGTTTTACTTGGGCTCTATGAAATGCTCAGCTGGCTCTATGTGCACATTACATCTAAAAAGTGACATGGTTAACACCCGCTGTTAGAGTTGCAGAAGCCCAAATAAAACTCTGGCATCCTTGGAAAATGCATTATTTCTTTGCCTGCTACCCTCTGCTCCCCTCATAAACCTGCCATTTTTGATGACTGTGTCCAGCGCCAAGGTTGGTCTGACATCCTTCCTCCCATCTGTGCCCTTTTTAGATGCAACATACTGTTTCCTTGGATGGTAGCTTCCACGCTGGAGGGGAAATCGGGTCTTAAACTACAGGATAGGTTCAGTCAGTTTTGCACGTGTAATGTGCAGTCTTTCCTGGGAAGGACTCTGAGGGCATGCATGTGAGTGTAGTGTGTCAACACACACTAGTGCACACTAGTGCAACATACACCAATCAACTCCTCTCACCCCCAAAACATAACAAGCTCCCTTCTCACAGCAAGAAAAACAGGAGCAGCTAGGACACAGCTTCCACTTGGAAAAGAGGTGGGCCCACACCCACAGGGAGAGAGCAACTTGTCCAATGCCCTCACTTAGCACTTAACTGAAGGACACTAAAGGACAGTGTGTCACCGAGGGGATAAGAAGAGGAAGAATAGGGTGAGGCTGGAACACCCAGCCGGGAAGGAAGTTATCTTTGCGACATCCATCCTGCCCAGAGGCGTCTCCAGTAGAAGATGCCGCTTCATGAAACACACCAACTATTCTCAAACTAATGCTATGAGAGGCAAGGCCTTGCTCCACACGCCTCTGCTGTTAGAGGAGGAGCAGCAACTGGAATCCTTACTCCAGGGGACTAGCAGGTAATGCGATGAAACTTGACCTGGCACATGATCACACAACGAATGATGCATATTTAAAAATGTACTCATCCTTCACCCCAAAGCTACTAGGAGGTTCTAGCAGAAATGGTGGCCTTGAAACAAGAGCGCCTCCCTGCCCCCAAAGCAGTGTGTGTGTCTGTGTGTGTGTTGTGCATGCACATGTACATATGCATTAGATACATAGGAAGGCACATTGAGACCTCACTGCTCCCAGGGAAAAGCAGAGTGTCGTCTCTCTGCTGTGAAGCTTCTAAAGGTCAAGGAATGGGACGAGGAAGGCACAGTGAGTACCGCTGCTCTGTAAGGACGGGGCGTCTCTTCCAGAGCCTCTTGCTTTCCGCCTCCTCGCTGCCTAGAGAACTGACCTTGCAGAGAGGAAATTGAGCTACCGTACTTGAGCCTGGGTCAAGTCCTTCACTGCTTTCTCCACTCAGTCCTGCAGCAGTGCTCTCCCTGCCAGCAGAACTCACTTTGCAAAATATCTTTAGATACTGCTGAGTGTAGGAAGGCAAAACACAATGATAAAAATACAGACTTCTTTGTCCTTCCATGTTTGCTCTGAGGAATTGAGGAGTTTGTCAGTAGGCACTGGGGGACAAAAAAAGACGGTCATAAAATTAATTTGGGTTCCAATATAGTTCTATTCTTGGGAAGAACTTGAACATTTTACATGAAATGGGTGCACAGCTTGACATTAGTGAAATGAACAAACAAACCAATGAATGAGGGAAACGAACACTGAAACTGATAAAGAGCTTGGAGGGCAAGCACCATGGTGGTAGAGGCTTTCAGTTTCTGTGTGTGGCTATTTCTATAACAGCCTCCTTCCTGGTTTGGGTTCTCTGGAAACAGACACTGAGGCTAGTAGGTTTCTGTGCAGGAGGCTTTTGGAGAGGCTCCTGTAAGTGACTGAAGGGAGCAACAACATCGCACTTTGGAAGATTTGAACTGCAACACAGGTTGCAATTACAGGACTCGGCTGATCCCTCAGGACTCATAAAGCTGGGATGGTCCATCAGAGCTGTCCCAAATTGAGGCAAAGTGGCCAGGCATTTGGACCTTTGCATCCTTCAGTTATAGGATGGGAGCTGCTCGAAAAGAGGGGCCAAACTTGAGAAAAGGCCAAACTGGAATGAAGCAGTTCTGCTGGGGCAGAGGGTTCCCAGGAGGGACTGGGGGGTGATCCTTCAGCAGCCAGTGCTTCAGAGGCTGAGGAGGTGAGACCCTTGATGCTGAAGGGGGTCAGGGAGTGCAGCACCGTGTCCCCTGCCCGTACCTTTCTCCTCATCACACCTCCACTCCACGGGACTATCTGTCTTCACCAAGACATGTGGAAATTAACGCTCACTGTATTTCCTCTTTGTATCCGGTCCCGGAAGAGACAGGGAGGCTTCCCCTCCCCCACACGCTCACATTTTCCGAGACAAGCAAAGCTTCTATTCCAGCAACCTGATTCACAATCAATCCTTTGGACTTATACTGCGAGTCAAGGAATAACATCTTAATTAAAAGAACTTTTTTTTTTCATTAGCAGAAATATCCGCTCCCATCACAGTGGATGTTTAAGCACAGATGGTCAGCAGAGAAGAGAAGTGAAGCCTTGAGGTCATCCCGTCGGGTGTCTCAATCTTTCCCTGCGCTAGACTTGCCAGCCACCCAGCCTCTGCTGAACTTTGTTTGACTCTTCCCAAGAAGGAAGTCTCTTCTGCTGTTAGGAAACCACGATAATGAAAATGTTTAAACATGTACCGAGCACATGTCTGTTTCCTTGTAAACTTTATGGATCCTCCTTCTGTCCTTCAGAGTTATGAAGAAAATGGTTATTATATTTTCCACTTGAGAGATCTCAGGAGATCATGTCCTGCGACATCTCTCAAGAGAACCCATGTCCTGTCTGTCCTGGATCCGTCTAATTGCCTTGGCCATTCCTCTGATCATGCTGTCCCTTCTTCTCGACCCAATCTTTGTCAAAATTCCTCTCCCAAAAGCATTTCTCAGAAATGGACATGAATGAAGCTGGCAGGTGCAGCAAGCTGTCATGACTCATCTTTGCTACTAATATTCCTTTAGTTCTTGAGGAACGAGTTCGTACCTCAGTAGGCACAGAATTTGCAAGGTTTTTAAATCTATCATCAAGACTAACTACATGTGGTCTGGAGAAAGTCCAAAAGACTCATTCCCCCAAAAGAGGGAAGGATATTTGGGTTTATATTCTCATCGGCCACTGGCCAGGAGACCCATAAGTTACTTAAAAACATCCCATGAGTTCAAAACAGCAGAATACATCTGCAAAATGTTGTATTTCATTAATGAATTTACATGTTCTTATAAAAGGGAACTTTTTGGATGATCCCTATTTTTCTTTTATCTCTCGCTCATGCTCCCAATTTATAACTATGCATTAGTCAGATGATTTACTAGCACCAACTCTGTGTGTGTGTGTGGTGAGGTTTGGGGGATGAGAGCAGGGGAGAGAGAGAGGATGGAGGGAATCTGACTCAAGAGAAAGAGGTCGTGTGTAGCACGGGGTGGTGTGAGGACACGGCCAGGCCCCCTGACTAAGGAATGGGCTGTTTCCTGGTTCAGGAACAGCTTCCCCTTTTTTGAAAAGTGCATTGCTCTTCCAAAAGCCCACCTATCCTCTGTTCTTCCACAAACCAAGACTGCGATCACCTTAGAAGAACAAATCTCCTGGCATCACTATGGGGCATCGAGGGGGTGCCATTCAGTGACCACTGAGTGCCATATTCTTCTACTTTTCCACATAAGGAAGGATCTCCAGAGTTATTATAAATATTAAAGGTCATCTCATATAGACACACGTGTGTGCGCATTTGAAAATGTACAGAATATCTCTGAAACTTCATTTAACAATTAAAAGATGGTTTGAGAGAAAGGGACCCTGGATGCTGTCTGCACTTGGGGCTTGAAGACACTGGAACTCTGTGCTCCATGAGCCTGCGTTACTTACTACAAAAGTGGCCAGGGGAGGACTGTTTAAAAGGCGGCCTTACCAGACAGCCACACAGACTTCGTGTGGCTTCTCGCAGATGGATGTGATGCTGCAGTTGCTCATGCAGGATTTGCGGCTGTCACAGGTGGAAGACCTCACATCACAAAACTTGCACAGTTGTGAAAACTTGACTGCGCCATTGTTGTCAGTGATCATCATGTCATTATTAACTGTGGAGGGAAAAGAAAGATACACTGAGTGGTTATCTAACCGCTAGACAGCCTGCCAGTGAATTCCTGATGATGTTTATGCAATTTCAGATGAGCCTGATGTCAGAAGAAGAAATACGAAGGAAGGCCTGAGAATTGCCTGCACCTATGCAATCCGTAACAAAAGCCACTGCAGGGTGGGCAGGGGGAGTCGAATAACTTCTTTTGTCCATGATTTTATAAGGCACTCTTCCTATACAAACCTTATCACTCAATCAAGAGACAGAGACTGGATTGGCCCATTGCATTGTTCTAGATGCTGGGAGTGCCGTGGAAAGTACTCATGGGGAAGTTAGCATTTAGCTGGGTGGATAGTGGAGGAAATGGATGAAGGTAGGATAACCCCAAACAGAGGGTAAGACAGGGGATGTGGAAGCCAGACGGGGCACCACCCACATGGGCAGAGAGGCCACCAGGGAGCAGAAATGTGACGTGCACAAGAGAGTTGGTAACTGAGAGGAGACCCTGTAGGTGAGGCAGGACTTGGCCACCCTGTCCCTGACCGACACCTGAAAGAGCTATGGGGTCTTCCTGCAAGGGGCTGGCTCTGACTTCTCTCTGTTGCCTTGAGGAAAATCAGTTGATAAACCAGCATGGACTGAGTCACTCCTAGGAATAATCCCAGTCCCTGTTGAGGTGCTGGAGTCTTGCAGGCGAGTAAAAGCGGGGTTCCACCTCAAGGGTCTGCCACATGCTGCCTCTCTTAGACTACGACCACCACTACCAACACCAGCCCTCCTATCCCTTACCTATTAGCTTTTGGACACATGGGCTGTATCTAGAAGAGGCCAAGTTCCTTCCTTCCTCAGGCCTTTGCCTTGCTACTCCCTTTGTCTGGCTTTTTGTCACCTTTCTGATCTCTGGTTAAATGTCAGCTCTTCACCTTAAAGCAGCCCACAGGTAACTATGACCAGATTCTGCTTTATCTTCTGCACAATCCACCAAAGTGCAACCTCTGTGAGATTTTTATCTGCGGTGTTTGTATACTGTGGCAAGGAGAGGGCCTGTTACATAGAAGCAGCTATCCAAAAATACTTATTGAGTGAATGAATGAGTGAAGAGCTAAATACATAAATAAATGAATATAAGAAGTTTGCTTTTGGTCCTTTATACCAAGTGGGAAAAAATATAGGACATTTCCCCCCACATCAGCGGGGAGTGTGATTATAAATACAATATTCATTCTTCTTTGCAACTCACATATTGCATGCTGAGAGGCAGTAAAAAAGTACAGCACCTCCCTCCCCATCATTTTCTTCAAAGAGATCAATTTCCATTGGCAATGAAGATAATTAAAGGTGTGCCTTTGGAGAGTCAAGTGAGAAAGGCTATAAGGGATTTTGGTCCACAAACATGAACTTCAGGATACTAAGGAAGATGAAGCACCAAACCACTTTGGCACTAGTGCCTGGGGAACTTAGGAAGTTGGGAGGTGTATTTCTCCCAGGAATCACGCTTGCAAAGCCTCCTCCACTCCTCCCCGTGTTCAGCATGCCCCTGCCCAAAGCCAGAGGAGCAGTTTCAATGCCATGGACGTTCCCTGTTTGCAAATGTTAGATTTCTGGCATCGACACTTTGCCACTCAGCCCTCTTTGCCGCTTGGACAGAGCACCTGTTTCCTGGGCCTCTAAAAATATAAACATATATAAATTCGAGATTTGCTTTCTTGTGGTGACATTAAATATAGAAGAAAAATAAACCCATTCATCCCTCCCAGGCCTCAAGTTCATTTCAGGAAGTATATTTTTAGGTAGCAAACTATTTTGAAATTCTCAGTGTCTCCCAGCACTAGAGCTCTATGCTTAGCTAAAAATATAGGTCTAAGTGCTCTCTGAAACTTGTGTTCAATTTGGGACTAAAGCAACAACGAATATATATTTTTTCTGCAATGGTTAGATTTAGATCCATTGGTGAAACAACTAATTTAACCCTTGAGGTTTTTCCACGAGGCGTGGGTGAAGCAAAAAAAAGTTAGGCCGTGTTTTGCTTTGTTTTTTATTTTTAATAGACTATGTGGAAGACAAACTTTTTTTTGGTGGTGATGAAGCTTTGTTTTTAAATATAAAATCCAGCTTCCACGCCTTGAAATTCAGCCTCTCAGCATGTTAGGATTTTAGCCTACATTAGTGGCTATCAATTTGGCGCCTGTTGGAATCCATCACCTAGGGCACTTTAGAAAATAATGAACTGGTCCCATCCCAGATACGCTGTTGTAATTATTCTGGAGGGTCACCTGGGCATCGGGGATTGTAGAAGCTGCCCAGATGATTCTAATGTGTAACCAAGGCTGAGATCCCTGACCTAGAGTGAGCTGAAAGATAACATGACCAGCACAAAACAGAAAACAAATCCTGCCCCCCGACCCTACAAATACATATATAACTTCTGTAACTGATGTGGGAGCCCCTCAATAAAGCTGGAAATTTCCTGGAGAAAAAAAAATCACCCAAAGCTCTGAGATTAGCACTTCAACGCTTCAGGGAGAAATGCATCTTTTTTTTTTTTTTTTTTTGCGAGCTGGCCAGTCCTTTACCCACAAAAGCTAGAAGTGTGAGAAAAGGAGTCAGGAGTGATAAATGAGAGCAGATGAGGCTGTGCTGGAAGCAGCAGTGGCAGACGCAGATGTGGTGACAAGTGTAAGGGGTTGGGTCTGATGTTTGCAAAACACCATCAGCAGTGAAGAGACCAAGAACAGAAAAAAGGCCACCAAAAAAAAAAAAAAAGAAGAAAAGAGAAAGAAGAATAAAGAAAGGTCACCAGCTGCACAGCTCGGGGGTGGGGGGCACTCAGGTTGCAGTCTGTGTGGTCGGGGCCCTGCAGCTGTGCAATTCACAGGCTTGAAGGTGAGGCCAGGAAAGAGAAGACCTGTCCATGTAATTCCAGGAAAGAGGGGAATAGCCAAGTTTACTCACAACTTGGAGGCATAGGCATATGAAGACAGGGGAAGGTGTCCCCTGTCGGCAACTTCTAAGTTACATTGGCAACTTCTCTTAAGACTTACTGTGTGGTAGTTAAGGTGCATAAGTTATCACGTGATATCACCTTATACGTAGCCAGCAAGGAGGCCTCATGTTTTTCTTTAGTACAGTAAATCCTACCCCTGCTAAGGTGAGCAGACCTTTTATCTTGATCAGCTTCGTTTTGATTTGAAAGCCTTCATGCAGGGCACATTCACGGCAATTTCCAGCTCCTCCCCAGCCAGCCACTCCCTATTAGCTGATTTCTGCAGGTTCTTACAATTCCAGCCAGTCAATGAATGTCCAACCTTTGCTCTAAGCTGGTATTCTCCTTTGTGAATCACTATGTTGCTGAAACAGAGTTAAGCGTAGAGGGCAAAGCTACTCTTAACCTTTGTTGGGGTCACCTCATTTTGATAAAAGCTTTATGAACTCACTTTGGTAGGGGGTGGAGAGACATACACATAGTCTTTTGCTCATTATTTCAGAGGGTTGGTCCACAGATTCCCTGAAGGTCCATAAGCTCCATTTGAAGAATCCTGGAGTCAGTAAAGGGGAGTCACTGATATCACACTAAGCGGTATGCACTACGCTGCCAGTCAGAGTGGGGTGGAGGGCGAGTGGGCACAATTTCTTCTGTGCATTCCGACCCACAGGGAAGGAAGTTCCTGCCATGACCTCACCTGTCAAATAACATCTTTAGGTTTAATACATAATGTTTGTGAGTCCAAAAGAATGCACAAATGCATAAAGTAAATGCAGAGAGTTGGCCTTGTACATGCACCGGGTCTGCATCTACAGATTCAACCAACCTCAGGTGGAAAATAACTTGGGAAAAAATATTTTTAGGTCAAGTTGGTGCTGACATGTAGTTAGGCCTATGATGTCTGCATCTGTACTGAACACAGACATTTTTTCTTGTACTTATGTCCAAAATATATAGTATAATAGCTATTTGTGCTGTGTTAGATATCGTTAATAATCTACAGATGATTTTAAAAGTATACAGGAGGATGTGTGCAGGAGACCCGGACTGGAGTATCCATGCATTGTGGTACCTATGTGGGGTCCTGGAACCGGTGCCCCAGCCCCAGCACACCAAGGGACAAATGTATGTGTAAATAGTCAGGGACAGAGCTGTCACTCTAAACAGCACAGCAAGAGTCACCTAATTAATTCTATAGCAAACCCTACCCAACGTCAAAATGACTTTCAATTCGGGTTGTTAATGTACTCTCCTAAGTCTCTTTAGTTAAAATGTTCTCATATCAAGGCAGTGCATTTTTTAATAGTTCATTTTTACTGTATTTTTTTTCCATTGCCAGTGATTCCCCCTACACCCTCCTCCACCTCTACCCGCCTCCCCCCCGTCTGCCCCCTGCATTCACCACACTGTTGTGTCTGTAGATCCTCCGTGAACAGCTGACCATCTTTAGAGAAGGTTCTACCCGTAACAGGCAAATTAGCTATTCATAATGTTCCCCTCGAAAAGGTTCCCATGTCTGTCCCCTAGAAAACCATTCGGTAGAGGAAGTAAACATGGGCAGCTGCTCTCGGCATATGACGGCGTCACATGGCCCATCACAGTTCACTGCTCTTCAAACAAACCCGTGAGTAATATACCCAGACCTCCAGTCTAGGTCATACTGCCTTCCTCATTTTAGGGCCCATTTTCCCCAAACTCACTGCCAAGAGGCAGAGTTTCCAGGTCTTGAGAATATGAATTAAGCAAATGCTCAGCTGTGTCTATTTCTGGAACTACCTTGTTATCTCTGAAGGTCAGAGATGAACTGCCTAATAAGGTTTAGACTTACTCCAGATAAATATTAAGAATTTTGGATAGGAATTGGAGTCCCGGACTCCCATTCTGGAATGGTGTCTACTATTAGCTGAACAAAATCTCAAGATTCTAAAAATAATCTAAACATTTTACCAGAAATGTATTCACATATCCTTCAATTCATGCATCTACCTACTGTTGTTCTGTAGCATGCGTTGGGGAGC